CGGTATTCCAATATGCTCCAGTTTAGCAGAAGTTTTTAAGCACAGCGGAATTGGCAGCTCGGTTCATTCCTCGTTTTCTTCCTATTCTGATGAACATGTCAGTGAGAAAGGGTAGTGAAAGTAAATACAAACCTAAAGGGATAGAAAATATATGTTTCACTTGGCACATCCACATCGAAAAAATAGTTTTGGCATCCACTACAGAGAAAAGGACTGAAGGTTTTTCTTTTCATTACCATTACACATTCTTTTGATCGGGATTTTGCCACTACATCCTCGATTATCTTCTACGCATTGAATATTGCTGAAATGGTTTTGTAGCCAAGTGATGCTTTCCAGAGTTATCATTCAATATTGACGATTGCGAGGGGCGGCGGCCGCATTTGCAAAATCGTCCCTGTACCACGTAGCCAAAAAAACCAAAACGCGGTGTCGTCCAAATGAGTTTAAAACTCCCCGCTTTCCTCACTTTGGCCCTTGTCTGAATAAGCAATGTGCCTCCTTTAATAATTCCAGCTCAAATGTGGTTTTTCGATCTAATTGCCCTACCTCTGGAGCAGGGTCGTGTGCCCAATCGTTGTTAATTTTTTGGTACTTTCTAAATTTTACGAACCCCTCCTTCACTGAAAAATCATAGTAGCCCCACCTCGACCCCTCTCCACATCCTTTTTTTTCCTCAAAAACGTTGATGGGGGCGGGGTGGGGAGTATATACGCAGCTGAAACGGCAAAGTTTCTACCGCGCGCTCTCACCTCATCACATATAATTTCGCGCTACCGAAACCGACCGCCCCCGTTGTTACTTGCAGCAACGTAGGGTTGACCCTGCTCTGGAGTCAGTGTGATGTGTTGAGAAACGCGTGAAGACTCGGGTTAGGCTAAGTTTACATGACCTGATCACTACTCGTTGTTTCCAAGTCAGAGTACTTTACTACCGTCGCACATCACCTTCATCGCAATACAGCCCGATACACATATATGATTACTTCAGATTCGAGTTCGCTCTTCGACAAATTGATCCTTCTATTTCCCTCCCGTACTGGGACTCTACGCTCGAAAGTGCTCTACCACGGCCTGCCGACTCAATATTGTTCTCGTGAGTTTCTCAGTACCTTAGATTGTCGAATCTCATTAACGTTTCATTTGCTTAGTGTGACATTTGCTCAGACATGAGTATTCATCCTATTGTATTTGGGCATTCTTAGGAATGACAACTTGATAATCTGAGTTTTCAGGTTGTCAGACAGTAGATCCACATTGTAACGCCGCGCAGGAACCAGGGCTAAGGAGGCGACGTGATAACTCATCTCCATTGCGTCCCATTACTGCCTACTGCCCAACGCGCGAAGGCGTATGTGACAGTGCTGGGTGTCCCCCAAAGAGGCCCGTCGCGCGGCGAAGGAAGAGACGCAGACGCGGCAAAGGACGAGTCGCAGCGCATACTGTAGCGGTTAGGCGTCAGGTTAAATAGAGTGTACCATACTACGTCTCATATCGCACAGCACGCGCTGCGACTCGTCCTTTGCCGCATCTGCGTCTCTTCCTTCGCCGCGCGACGGGCCTCTTGGGGACACCCGAAAGCGCTTCTGCCGGCTGCAGTCTGTCTGATGAAACCCTAATTTTCTGTCTACTACTATTATAGCTTTTGCTGGGTATATCGCTATAGCGCGGTTTCTGTTCTATTCAAATTCCAACGGTGTGAACTTATCGCACGAGCTACCCTCAACATTATTCTTTTAATGCTGCTTTCGAGT